GATCTACTGGAGAATTCATATGCCCATCTTCTAACACTGGACTGTATATCCAAGTCATGCAGTCAATGTAGTCAACCCGTAACAACTGATCTCACAGAGGATGGGCAGGGGGAGTGGGGCGGGGGGAGCCGAGGATGACCTCTCAAATATTTCTCATAGTAGAGCAGAGAGGAGACCAGCAGTGCTCTGGAACACAAAAGCCATTCTTGACTCTGGCTACCACCTCGGTGGAGGTGACAGAGCTTTATAAAGGCATCTGTGGTAGCCAGCTTCCAGGATGGGCTCCAGTGATCCCTTCATTCACACCCTTGTGTAATATCACCTCACACTGTCCAGAGTTGGTCAGTATGATCAACAGAATACAGCAAAAGTAATGGTCAGTCACGCCTGAGAGCAGGTCATAAAACACTGCAGCTTTCTTGTCGGTAACCCTCCCATTCTGTTTCGGATCAATTGCTCTGGGAGGAACAGCTACCATGTCATGAGCAGCCCTACAGACAGGCCCATGTGCTGATAAACTGACCCGTTGGTGAGCTTGGAAGCAGAGTCTCAGGCCCCGGTCAAGCCATCAGATGACGGCAGCTCTGCTGATGTAATGGACTACAGCTCCGCCCGACACTCAGAGCCAGAAACGCCCACCTAAACTGCTCCTGGATTCCTGACCTTCAGAAACTATGTTTTAAGCTGCTACATTTTGGGGTAATTTGGTACAGAATAAATAAAACAGACTCAGTTCATCTCTACAACCTAGAGAGCAATAGGCTTTCAAATGAATTTTCCTTTATAGTGGTTTGGGCAGCTTAGATCTCCCCCCCAGGTTACCTAAGAAATAGTTTGCAAATTTCTGTGCTTTGCTTTCTGTTACCAGGGCCTCTCTATTTAGTAAGGGATACTGGCAGGAAACTGGAAGGCAGGAGGAGGAAGTACTTCCCGTTTTCTACCTTCCCATCAGGGTAAATGTAGTCAGGCTTTTTCATCTAGCATCAGTCATGCTTGATTTCAGGAGCGGTGGTTGATTCCTAGCTTGAAACTTTTTTAACTTTCCAGGGCCAACGTCATTGTGCCCCTTTAGAAATACCTCTTTAGGGTTTGCAATTCCAGCCCAATAGGGTTCTCCCGCAAGCTTCAAAACTTTAAATTCTGACCTCTTTATTCCCCCACACCTAAGTGTCATAGCTGTTTCTAGCTTTCTGACACCTCGGTTCCCGTTTTGTTTCAGCCCGCTAAGACCCAATTTACAATTCTGTGTATTAATTCTCTTTGTTCATTTGTCTCCTGATAACCACCTCAAATAAGTCTTCATGTTCGGTTCTACTACTGTCTCCTCAACTTAAATTATAAAGTTATGAGTGAATATTTATATTCTGTTATATAATAGAATAATTATATTCCATATATAAGAATTTATATTATATACATTTTATTATAGAAAATATATAAGTATATATATTATTTTCTGCCTTTCACTGGATTATAAGCTTCATGAGGGAAGGATCATATCTGTTCTATCATAATGAATTAGCAATACAGTTATATAATACATAAAATATATAAATATGTAATACATAATACTATATTTTATATTATAGTATTATATATATAAGAATATATATTCTTTTCCATCTTTCACTAGATTGTAAGTTTCATGAGGTCAGATCATGTCTGTTCTTTCACAGATGAATTAGTGATACATAGATGCTGACACATCAAAGCTACTCATTTAATACTTGTTCAATGAATGAAAGATGGATGATTCATTATTGATGGATCAATACTTGAATTAAATGAGCAATATAGCTCATTCCATCATCAGATGACAAATTCTGTACCTGATAAATTCAAACTAGCCATGGGACATCCTTTATGGTAAGGCAGAATCCCAACCTCCCAGAGATGTTCACATTCTAATCCCCAGAATCTGTGGCTATTACCTTTCCTAAGAAGAAAAATACTTAGCAGTTGTGATTAAGGATCTTGAGATGGGGAGAGGAGCCTCAGTTATCCAGGTGGACCCAATCTAATCACAAGGCTCTTCATAAGCAAGAGGGAGAGACAAGGAAGTCACGGAAGACACGATGATGGAAATGGGAGCCGGGGGGCTGGCTGGAGTGATGGGGCCATGAGCCAAGGAATGAAGGCAGCCTCTAGAACCTGGGAAAGCAAGGAAGCAGATTGTCCCCTAGAAGCTCCAGAAGGAACACAGCCCTCGATGTTAGCCCAGGGACGCCCATTTTGAACTTCCAATCTCCAGAACTATAAGAAAATAAATTTGTGTTATTTTAAACCACTAAGTTTGTGGCAATTTGCAGCCATAGGAAACCAATACATCCTGGTAGAGAAGTCCAAGAGGCTGAAGGTTATACTGGCCTAGCACTCTGGAGAGAGAAGAGCACTGAAGATGGACACATGCAACTCTTCAGCATACATGTGACAGTTACAGCTGAGAGAGTGGATGAGATCACAAAGGCAAAGGAAGTGTATACAGTAAGAGGTAAAGTGAACCTGCAGTCTGAGCCCCAGAGGACTGCAGCCAGCACTAAATAAGGTGCAAATGCGTAGGGCCTTTGCCCCACCTTTCGCAGGAAAAAGGACTTAGCAGATGTGATTATGGAGTTTGTGTCATTGGTTTAGGTGGGGAGGAATGGCGGGGAGGAACGGTCAGAAAGAGAAGCAAGGCAGCTGATACACCGAAAACAGATTTTAGAACTTTGTCAACAACCTTCCAGAGGACAGTCAAATAATAATGATGTACTTATTCATAAGTATACCTATTTGCTCTATTTTACATCACCTTCTCTCTCTCCAAACTCCCTATGCCCCTCTCCTCATGCCTCGCTCTTTGATGATAGTCTTGCCTCAGAAGGAAAGAATGCCCTAATTTCCTGCACTCCGTGTTTCTAACCTGCCCACCTGTCTCCTTGCCTTCTATGGCATCACTGCATACCTGCATCTGCCTCCTATGCCGTCACTATGGATGAAGCACACTAACGAAACGGCAACCCCTGTACTTTTGCCCTGGGTCCTTCCTGCTTCTTTCTTTGCCCTTGCAAATCTTGCCCTCTCCTACATCAATTTCTCTCTTTACATGCAAGTTTGCCTCAGCATCTGCCGTCTTCAAAATGTCCTCCATTGACCACACAGTCTTATCCAACTGTTGCCCCAAAGTTTAAGTTGTCTCCCTTTTGTCACCTTACATTTTTTTCTCAAAGTGTTATAGCAGTTATTTAAATCTCACTCCTCCCAGAGACCACTCAGGTCAAAGCTACCAGTAATCTCTATATTGTTGAATCCAATAGTCTTGACATCAGTGCTACCACGTTCTTTCGGATTTTCCTCCCAGCTCCATGTTTCCTCTTCATCCCTTACTTGACCTCTACATGGTCAAGGGCCCTAGAGCTTTGTTCCTGACCCACTTCTTTTTAGCTACACAGATTCTTAGGTCATCCAGCCAAACCCAAGTGTCTACTACTTGACAGCCATGGATGTCTAAAAGGTATCTCCAACTCAACACAATCAAACCGGAACTCTTGATTTTCCTCCTCCCAACCTGCTCCTCCCCCAAATGTTTCACATCTTATAAATGACCGAACCATCCACTCAGTTGCTCAAGTCAAAAATCTAGAGGTTATTCTTGAATCCCCTCTCCCTAACCAACTCAACATCCAACCCATTAGCAAGTTCCATAGACTTTATTCCAAAACTAGAGTTTACTTTAAATTCTCATTATCTCGGTCTCCAGCACTATCAGCAACAGCTAAGCCACTTTGTGGCATGCACTTTTGGAATAGCATCCAATAGGTTGTCTCAGTTAACTTTTACCACATAACCACCCCCAAAACTTCCTGACTTAAAACATTATTTCTCACAGTCTGTGGGTTGGCTGGTCAGTTCATCTGATCAGTGTGGTTGTGGCCAGGGGAAGGAGAGTCCAGGAGAGCTTCACATGCTTTGCAGTTGGTTGGATGTCACCTGGATGTAGGCCATGACTTGACCATGTGTCCCTCAGCATCCTTCAGGCTAGCCCAAACTCCTAAGACGGTGGTCATAGGACTCCCAAGTTCAGCAAGAGGGCAAGCTCCAACTCACAAGTGTTTTTTAAGCCTCTGTTTGCATTATGTTAATGTCCCATGTCCAAAGCAAGTCACAGTCCAGTGCAGTCAGTGGGGGGAGACACTACCAAAGAGTATAATTTGGGAGACCAGAAATAATTTGTGGCTATTTTTGCAGTCTACCACACTCATCTCCCTGTTTCCACCTCCTGAAATCAGTTTTCCACACAGCAACCAAGTAATCATTTTGAAACACACGCATGCTCATTTCACTCCCTGGCCCAAACTTATGGCTTCATTGAAAATACAACCCCTATTATGAATTTAGAAATCTTCCGGGATCTGGCCTCTGACTACCTGCCCAAGTCATCTAATACCATTGCCTCCTTGCCTAGTAGGTCCCAACAACGGTGGTCTTTTGTTTTCCTTGAATACAGAAAACTCCTTCATGCCTCAGATCTTTGCACGTGTTCCCTTTGACTGAAATACTCCTCCCAAGCATATTTGCGGAGCTGGCTTTGTCATTCATGTTTCAGCCTAAAACTCATCTCATTACAGCGATCTTCCCCGTGCAGCCAATTTAAGATTACTCTCAATGACTTCACCTGATTTAAATTTTCTGCAAAGCACGCACCTGTGATATTTTGTTTGTCCCTGCTCCTGTTTATCACGGCATCACCGAGGGCCTATAACACTGCCCGGCACATAGGAAGCACACAGCGAATATTTGTTGAATTAACGCAAAGGTGTCTGCTACGTCCCAGGATTGTGCTAAGCTCTGTACCCTTCCCATCTCAGCAGGATAGTTTCACAAAAAGTAAATTCCACATCGAGGATTAAATGGATGCACGTTACACCTCATCCCACACCAGTAACTCGTTTTCCTCTGCTTCCCCACCCCTCCCCTTGCCAAAGAACAAGTGAGGAGAGATCTGGAAAACAACATAGGGTCATCACTCTAGTCTTTTGCCACATTTGTTGGCTTCACCGAGCTCAACGCCACATGAACTACTAACAGCAGCAGCACCGGCGAGGAGGGGATGATGAAAGGTAGAAGACTTCACCGCCAGCGGACCGCAAGGGACACACCGCAGCTCCAAAGCACTGCATCCTGGGAGCTGTAGTCTCCCGGGGAGGCCTGTTCTGGTAGGACCGGGGCCCCCGCGGCATGCTGGGAGTTGGAGTCGAGGGCTGTTGAGACTGCACCTCTGCGCTTATAGTAGCGAGGGGAATTCTCGCTGCATGCTGGGAACTGTAGTCTTCCTGGGGCCCCGTTCTTCCTGGACGCTGAGTCGCCGAAGCTGCCGCCATTTTAGGTCCCGAGGTGCGGCGGCCGAGAACCAGGGCGCAGGCGGGCTGAGCCCGGGCGCCGGGCCGGCCCCGCCCCCGGGGCGCCTGGCGCCCGCCCCTTGCTCAAGCCCCGCCTTTCCCCACGTGTCTGCCGCTTAGGGGAGGTGCCTCAGCCACAGCGGGCCGCCAACGGTCCGGCCCCGTCCGCACAGAGGCTCCTGTCGGCGGCGCCCGGGAGCGGCTCGGCTGCCAGATGCTTCCGCCCCGGCTGCCGCGGGCCGGGCTGTACGCTTAGTGCCCGGCTCAGGCCCCCAGGAGCGCCCGCGGGGGTGAGAGCGGCCTCGGGCCCCGCGGAGACGGAGCGGCTTGAGGACGAGGCGGCGGCCGCGGGGAGGAGGATGGGGGCTAACCAGTTAGTGGTGCTCAACGTGTACGACATGGTGAGTGCGGCCCCTGGCGGCCCCGAGCCCTGGCCCAGGCCGGCTTCCTCTCGCCGGTCGGGCTCGGACCCCGGCCCCAGGCGCTTCCTGCCTCGCGTCTCCGCCTTCTGCTTTCGTTCTCGGGGAAAGCCGGGGAGAAGGAGGGAGAAATAGTATTATTTTTTTAATCCTCGCACTCGTCGACGCTCGGGTGAACCCGGTCAGCCTGACGGTTTGGGGCAAAGCGCGGGTGGGCTAGAACCTCTCCCATCCCCGCAGCTTGGCCCCGACCCTGGCTCAGGGCCCGACCCCTTGGCTGACGAGCGGTGTCCTTTCTGCAGAGCTTCTGTCGCGCCTCAGACCCCACTTGCCGGCCCCCGGGGCTGCCCCAGGACCCCCGTCCCGACCGCCTGCGCTCCCAGCTCCTGTACAAGCCTTTGCTTGGTTTAAATCTTCAAACACTCCCAAGCCCCTCCAGATGCAGAAAGTCACAGCTTTCGGGTGCCTGTGCTAGAATCGCTTCCAAGGTGAACAGGAGCCAGAACACCCTTGCCTTGTGTGTCGAAGGCAACCTCGTTAAAATATGAATGAGGCCAACATTTGTCAGGAAAATAGCCCAACTGAATTATTGAGAGAGCCTGGTGGTGCTCCTTTCCTAGACCCTGAAGACCACTTTCCAGGTGATGCAACAGGTGACGTGACCGCAGGAGAGGGAGAGGAAGAAGTTGTTTATGGTGTCATCTAACTTTGGAGTACTGCAAGCGCGCAGAATCGAGTTCAAGAACTGGTTTGCCTGTTTTTTGCAGTTGAAATGTCCCCAGAAAAAGCACCCGGTAGAGAATTGCCCTTGCATTGAGGTGCATGTTTGGTGTGTTTGCTGGTTGGTCGGTTTTTGTTCTGTAGAATGGATTGCCTCTTGACTGCAATGCTTAAAATTCCTTGTAAGTTGACTGGCAAATGAAAAATTCCCCGTCGTTATTTTTGTTGGCTTAAAAGATGCAGGAGAGCAGAAATACTGCAGGCCAGGAGTCTTAGGCAGTTGTAAACTTTTTTCCTTGTCTTATTTATAAGTTTCTAAATTTACAGTGTTATATCTTGGGTAGAACAGATTCCTCATCCCATATCTGGGAATTGTGTAGAGGGTATAGGAACTGCCTACCACTTGAGTCCTCTGTTGACTTCTCATGTGAGCCTGGAGGTGAAAGGAGGTGGGTTAACATGCTGAGAAAAGTGGAGCGTGATATAGAGGAGACTAAGCCACAAAAGATCCTAGAAAACCATGGCCCTTTTTAAGTAAATAATTTTCTGGATTTAAACTTTTCGTGTTCAACTGAACACCTTTATTTTTCAAGACTCTCCTAGCCCTTTTACTTTTTTGTGCACTCTCCCCTATCTGAATTTGATTTGTTTTTTATTCATGAAGGCTCTTACTGTCTTTTATAATATATTCTGCTCTTGAGATCAGTGTGCCTTTTATCCTAGAATATTAAGCCCCTTTATAAATTAGGAGTATACAATGGCCAGAAGCCACGGTTTCAGAGCCTAAAAGAATTCGTGAGAATAGAGGAAGAGAGTTTTAACTTTTATATGAAAATGAAAATGCATTTTTTTGGCATATAGTGGTCTTCTTTACACTTTAGGCATTCTGTGAATCAGGAAAATCTTTGCTAATTGTGGTTGATTGGGAAAAGCTAGAGATGGTATTCAGTATTTTCTAAGGGTGGACTTCTGAATGATGTTAAAATATTAACTAATTAACAAGATCTTATTTTTCACATCAAGTTTGTAAAATAGGTAGTTACGGAAGAAGCAGACAGGGAAAAGAATAAGTGGCCTGTCCAGAAAACTAAAAATATCTAGAATTTGTAGATCAAAATCTGATTCACTATCTTCTCTACGGAATAATTTCTATATTTATGTCTTTATATTGTTTTTCCTGTGAACAGGAGATGAAGCATCTGAATGTTTATCAGAATGATAAATAGTTGAATTATTAGACTTTTAATAAACTTGATCTTTTATGTTCTTTTGAGGGCTTTGAGTGTTTTATGTCACTATTCAGCAATCTACCATTACTTATTAATTTTGACCTGGTAGAAACCACAAGGATGAGTTAATTGTCCTTTCTTCTTTAAGGAATTTAGAGTATTGTAAAGGAGATATAAAACAGTGGTAACAATTCAAGACAAAATAGCAAGGTTTTTATAAGAGCAGACAAGGATGCAAAGGAGGAGACTGTATGTAGTTGTCGGATCAGGAAATATTGAAAAATAAAAGGTGTGAAACTTGAAGGATGGGTAGCAACCACAAGAGTAGAGAACAGTTGGCATGAACAACATGGCAGGAATAGGGAAAGCACAGGTTGGATTTGGGAAATATCAGCTGGTCTACTATAATTAGAGTATAGCATAAATGAAAGGAGCCAAAACTGAGAGTTTGATTAGAACTTCCTTAGTCAGATGAGTTGTGGGCTTGGCTGAAGGGCTGAGGGGGCTCTTTGAGCCAGCAGAACCATTTGAAGTTCATGAAGGGGAACAGTGGGATCAGTTGTTTTAGAATGCAGACTAACAGATTGAGGTACCAATTTTGGTCTGTTACACTCATTTTTCTCATCAGTTTTGGTTTTTGAAACATTTTTGCTTGATGCCGAGAGTAAATTCCTTTCATCTTTGGTAATTCTTCCTATTCATCAGAGAAGCCTTGGATGAGGATTGCTGTTATCTGTGAAGGCCTAGTATATCAGCTATCTGGTTCAAACTCTGTAAATATGAAAATTGAAAATTCACCTTAAGGTTGCCCTTATATTCATGGTTATAGGGACCTCTTGCCGTGTGTCCTTGTGCCTCTTTGTTAGATTGTCACCTTTTCCAGCTCTGATTGTATTTTTCCTGTTCTCCAGATTAGGCTGCTATGGATCATTTCTTCCATAACTTTGTCATATGCATGAAAATAATTCTGTCGGGGTCACCTGTATTAACTTTCTTCTCATGGAATAGTAGTGAGTAAGTAACTCAAAAGGTTACTTAGTTATGCATAGTGCTCCTAAATTATTGCTTGCTGCCTTCTCAGTGATTATGTTCCTCTGTACTTTGGAGTAATCTACCACCAATAAAACATGTCCTGGAGTTGCTTTCTGAGTCACGGGAATGAGCTTGTTCACATATTCCTAATTTACTGACACACGTAGCAAAGCGGGTGATTCGGATTCGCTTCCAGTGCCAAGACAGATCCCTGGTGTAGTCACTTTAGCAGTCTTCATTTTTCATGGATCCAGATTTTGTGCTTTTCAGGTTATCTTGGCTAATGAATTTTTATAAGATAAAAATATGCCGGTGTTTTATAGTGTAAATTCATTGTGTAAACAAGTTTCTACCAACTTTATTTATTATTTATTTTCTTACTCTGTCACCCAGACTGGATTGCAGTGGCATGATCTCGGCTCACTGCAACCTCCATCTCCAGGGTTCAAGTAGTTCTCATGCCTCACCCTCCCAAGTAGCTGGAATTACAGGTGTACACCACCACACCAGGCTAATTTTTGTATTTTTAGTAGAGACGAGGTTTCACCATGTTGGCCTCTTGATCGTAGCTGTTCTTGAACTCCTGACCTCAAGTGATCCACTGGCCTCAGCCTCCCAAAATTCTGGGATTATAGGCATAAGCCACTGAGCCCGGCCTGTACCAATTTTATTATAAATTAGTAACTATACATCTTCAGAGTCTTAATAGAAGAGAAACACTTTCTAGGACTCTTCAAATAAGGACATTTTTGTCTGAACTCTGCTCTTTTGACACCTGTCTCCATTAGACTCCTCCAACAGAGTGAGGTCATGCGGTGTAATAGATCAGACTTCTCATACATCTGCAGATTTAATTCAGACTTTTGAACAAGTTCTAGAATCACACATCTCCTCACCTAATGATTCCTTAATATCTCTGAATCAACATGTCCGGGAACACAGTTCTTCCCTTTTCTCCTTTTCATGCCTCGAATTCTTCCTTCTCACCCCATGCCACTGCCCAAAAGCCACCACTTCTGTTGTAGTTTCCCAAACCAGAAACCTGGGGGTGAATTTAAATTTCTCTTTATTATAAACTCTCCACAGTCAGTCAGCAGGCCCTGCAGAGTTTGATTTTGGTTGATTCTGTCTGAAAGCAACAGGGAGTTTGACAGTCCGTGGTTTAAGCTGGAAGGATACTTGACAAGTCCAGAGATAAACAGGCCCTGGATTATTAGTTCCCCAGCTCAGCTGTGTCATCAAGAACCAGGACTTTCCATCCTTTTACTCTACCGTCCTCAGCACGTTGGCTTTTGCCGTTGGTTTGTCCTCTCATAGTTGTAAAGTAACTGCCATAGCACCAAATGAGGTATCCTGTCAGCAGGATGTGAAGGAAGATGAAGATGGGGCCATTTTCTACATGCACCTCTATTCTTTTAATAGAAAGGAAAAACTTATCAGAGCCATGCTACTTCCCCCAAGAGATTATCTAGAATTGGCTCTTGTGCAACTGTGATGAAGCTGAGTAAGTGAATATCTGGCATCTCTAACCTTTACAGTGTGTTGTGGGTAAGGAAGGCAAGAAGTTGGAAATGGCAATTTGCTGGGAACCTGCGATGCCTGTCACATATTTTATTTTCTGGATATTGTTTAAATTGGTTACTTTATCCCCATTTCCACTGATGCTTCTCAAGTTCAGGCCCTCATCTCTATTCATATAATAGCCTCCTTACTAGTTTCAGTCTCTAGTATTACTCATTTTCATCCTCCCTCCATTCTGTTAGCAAAGTAACCTCTCTGAAACATACCAGGATAAAGTGTGATGCACTTTATGATGTGGCCCTTACCTGACAGTTAAAGATCCACTTCCCTCTTGTACATAACACGCTTTATTCTCACACCGTGAAATGTTTTAGTTATCCAAACAGGCTATATCCCACACCCCATATTTTATGCATGCTTGTCCTTCTGTCTAGAATGTCCTTACCCAGCATTGATCGCCTGCAACCTCCTGCTCCTTCT